CAATGGTTGCCAGTGACACAGTGTTTCGGTCTGCACCTCATAGTGGCGTCGTTTAAATGGAAAACACAGTGCACGTGAGCGGAAAGCTCCTTTCCCCCCGTTTCCCTCTTGGAGTTCCCGCCGCCCTCTCATGCTTCCCAGAGAGCCAAGGGGGAAAGGGGGAGCAGGGAGGAATCGTGAATATCGAGGTCAAATTCTCCATTTAACCTGTTAAACCGACCTGTACTCTCTCTCCCAAGAAAGGCAGGCACACCTGTGACTCACACCAGCGAACACGGTGCATGCCCCCCCCCACCACCTGTTTGGAACCCCCCTGGGCTCCAGACAGAAAGGCGCAGGAAGCCATCAATGAGGAGACGGGAGACACAGACGACGCGATGGGCCCCCACTTATCTGAGTTAAGTCGGCCGCCTGCGGGTCGGTGTCTGGGAACAGTCTAGTCCGGTCCAATAGTAAACGACATTCTCAGAGTCATAGCACAGCGGGACGGGAAGGGACCCTACGGACAATCGTCAAGTTCAACCCCCACTCCCGGCTTCGGTCTCCTTCCCGCGTCACGGACAAGGGGATCTACGGTCTGTCCAAACAGCCCCTGGCGCGGGAAGCATTCGGACAGATCTCACGTTTAGACATCCCCTCGGTTGGTGCGTGGGGCCGAGACGGGCTTCCCAGCGGGGAGGACAACGGTTAACGTCGAAATCACAAACAAAAGCCCTTTGGTGAGTGAGGACCTGGTACGGTTGCAGGGTCGCGGTGAGGTTTGAATGTGGACATGGACGTTCCAGAATTAAGTTACGGGCCTGTGACACCTGGGCCCTGAGAGAGAAAGGCCACTGGCTGCAACAGCAGGCAGCAGGGAGGCCCAGCCCCTGCGGGGGGGGGGGGGGGGGGGGGGAGAGGCTGGGCCAGCGCTCCAGGCAGCAGCTGCCGAGCCCTCCTCACTGCTGCTGAATCGAGAAAAGGGTTCCCCCTTCCACCTGGGGGCACCACTGCATGGAGGACTGACCACCTTTGCCACACTGCACCGAAATGACCGTTACCTGCCGGGACGATTGAAGGCAGCTGCTGCCCGCTTGTGTGCCCACAGGCCTGGCTCCGCGTGTGAGCGCCACGCCGGCCGTCCAGCACGGCCGTCCAGCACGGTCTCCGCCCACCGCAGGCCCAGGCCTTGCCTCCTCAAAGGGGAGCAGCTTAGGCCAGCCCCAGTCCACGCTCGCGTGGCCTCCAGGGAGGGGCTTCCAGTGCACCCAGGAAGTTCAAAACTCAGTCACCACGGGTCATGTTAAGATAACAATTCTGGGCACTTCCAGAGGAAAAGGAAACCCGGGTACGAGCCTGGACTGCAGGAGAACCTCGACTCCAAAACTGACGAGCCTCCAGCCCCGCCCCCCCCTCCCCCACCGCCACCTTGGCCAGCTGGGCTGCCTCCCCGCCCACAGCCACATCTCGGAGTGACAAGAGCCCAGGCTCCAGGACGGCGGCCGAGTCCCTGGTGATCGCTGGCAACTCCCAACCGCCTGTGGTCCCCACGCAGCAGGCTGACGCCTGGTCTCAGGCCCCTGTGTCTGCGGTCCCTGCGGCCTGGACAGGGCCTTCCTCCCTTCCTCGCCCAGCTCTCCCGGAACACTCAGCTTGGGAGTCCTTTCCTCAGCAGTCCCCCGGCCCCACCTGCACCCCCACCCCCACCGAATCCACCACAGCGCCCTGAAACGACCCATCCGCCCACCCGCGGGGCCTCTGCCCCGGCTGGAACTGGGCCAGTCATCCCCGGCCTGGTCCAGCGCCTGGCGCAGAGCGGGCCCTCAACGGCTGGCTGGGTGAACTGGACTCCGGAATCTCCAGGGCCACGCGGATAACTGGGAGTTAACAAGGAACTTGATTTCTGTGTTTTCTTGTCCGACCGAGTTGCTAGACAGCCCCATTAGCAGCTTCACGTCAGGAAAAGCCCGGCCTGGCGTTGTTTTTGAGAGACACACAAGGATGTTTTGGTGAAACGCTTCCTTTCACTTTAAAATGTAAGTCTTAGTGAACAAGGTCTTCGCATACAATTAAACGGCTGAGAAAAGGCAAAACCAAAAGAATCTCATTTAATGAATAGTTTACATCCAGTGGCTTTGAGACATAGTTTGGAGCTATCTTTTTGCTTCGAAGTCAAAACTCGGGATTTAAAAATAGATTAATCTGAAGGAAAAAATAAATTCTGCCTTTAAAAAAATGAGTCTCAGACCACGGACAGGCAAAGTTCCCCAGGGAGCTCACGCACTGCAGGCCTGGCTCCCCCCCACCGCCCCACCCCAGCGTCCGGCCCGCACTCGGGTGGCACCGGACAAGGAGAGCGAGGGAGGGGCCTCCCGGGCCCCAGTTCCCACGGAAACTCTGTCGAGGGCGGTCCCTGGGGAAGAGCATGGAGAGGGGCATGAGCTGACGAAGAGCTGCGGTGACTGTCTCACTGCACTGCACCTGCCCGTCTCATGACCGCGGGGCTGGGGGCGGAGGACGGGTCACGTCTGCCTAAGACAGAGGAACAAACCTGTCCCCAGCGCTCCCTGCCTTGAGGCGCTGGAAGTCACCCTTCCCAGTTCACGCTCAAACACAGTCAGTCCTCGAAAATCCTTTTGGATTCTCTTGTTCACAATCCAGCTATTCTGACTGCTCGAGAGGGCTAAAGTGTTCTGTGCTTGGAACAGTCTGGATCTCTGAAGATCCCTTCCAGTTTCAGGATGTCATGATTCTTTGAATAACGCAAACAATCAAGTGAGAAATACACCACGGTTGGTTGACTTCATATAAAAAGACACAGGACTCCAAGGACGCAATGGAAAACCACTCTGGATACCGTGGAGACACACCCAGGAGTTAAAGGTTCCAGAAACGTCATTGCTTTGGAGGCACCGAGAGCACATGGTGAGTTTTATGCAACCAAAGAAAGAATAACTGTGGGCGTGGGAACCGCGGCTTCCCCACTCAGCCCTGCCAGGCACTGCTTGCCAGAGCTGCTCACGTTGAATAGAGCAAAAATGTACGTATCGTGCAAATCCAGTCGAGTCGAACCAGACCCACGACAGCCAACCTAGCTAGACGGGAGGAACGGCAAGTGCTGGCCCAGCTTCCTCTCCGGGTGCACGGAGCCTCGTTTCCACAACTCGCGTGGAGGACGCGGCACCCGGCAGGCCCCCAACACTGGCACCCATATCTCTGAGCCACAACAATGGTGGAGAGTCACGGGGAGACTCACGAGCGCACAGTATCACCGACACACACGACCAGTTTGCTAGGCGCTCCCCACCGACTCCAAGCAGCACCCACTCACACGAGGGGAAGAACAGGGCGGAGCGGCGGGCACCTGGACGTGTCTGCGGTTCGTGCCTCGGGCTCGCGTCACCAGTTGAGTGTCAAGTGGTTTCGTCTCCGAGTGGCTCTGCGGGCTGGGGTACGGCCATGCTGGCAGGGAGGTGGCGACAGCAAAGGGCAGGGCCACAGACAGCCACCGTGGTGTGCCCAGGGGTCCAACAGGGACAATGAGCTTCCCAAGTGGGGTGCAAGCTCCCCTGGACCTAAGTCGGACCCACGCCAGGCTCGAGGGTGCCTGGCCCACTGCCTCTCCAGCTCCGGGTTTTCCTCTCTGTGTACAGGGGCACGTGCCGGAGTTCAGAACAGGAGAACAGAACGACCCACTTCTGTTACTCATTTCCAATGTAGTCCTCTATCACGTACAACCTAAGAATGGCTGCAGGTTCTAGCAATAAATTACAAAATAGGTACCTGAATATTTTAAACGGAATTCCCTTTTTAAAGCTCTCTCACGGAGCAACCATGCGGGAAAGACTCAGATGAACTTGAACAGCATGAAGGCAAGCAGCGGCAGTGTGGACGGGGCCAGCGAAGAGACACGGGGAATCGCTTGTGTGTGCACGCGTGTGCGCACACCACCTCTGAGGGGGGTCCCATGGGCTGCTCTGGCCTGGTGTCTGGGTGACAGCTGCCGCGGTGGCGGACTGAGGCCCACCCACGGGTCCTGCCCACCCACGCTGTAGCAGCAGAGTCATCTCGAGGAAGCCCCACCCCCAGGAAGCACGCTGGGTCGGCGTCAGGGGTGGTGCCCAAGTGTGGCCGGTAGTGTAGTACTTCTCTTGGTTAGAAAGAAAAGGGATTAATGATCACGAGGGGAAAAACTTGCTTTCCAGGAAAAGAGAAAAAAAAATAAGGAGGACTTAAGGTACGACTACCAGAAAATGGATGAGCCGGACGTGAGGAAGACACCGGGGAGGTAGGCTGTGAATAGGGCGGGCAAGCGACGGGTCCGAGCATCTGCGAGGTGTCCCGTAGCCTGGAGATCCCCGAGAGACTCCTCGGGCCCCACAAGGCCCCGCCGGTGAGGGCTGGCTGAGGTGGCACGGGGGGAGAGCCCAGCGCGGGGCAGGCGCACGGCGCATGCTTGCCCACTCAAGTTCTGTTCTTACAGGTGCAAATCAGATTTTTTAAAAACGGACCGCGATATCCCAAGCTGAGTCGCTACACGCAAGACTATTTCACTGGATCAGATTTGGCTGGATTCCTCTAAACCGGGGTTCTCCGGCTGACTTTCCACAGTCCTTTTTCTGCATTCCCGACGAGGACACGTCAGGAGCTGCGGGAGCCCGCACCTGTTACGTCTCAGGTCCCAACGTTTAGTGTGACAGCGAGCAGAGGGCTCTGGTTTTCAAAGGGAAAGAAAACTCAGATGGTGAGGAAGAGCAGGACACAGCCTCTCAGTGATGGACACGTTCAAGCTCAGGGGTGAGGTCACACAGAAAAACACCCCCAAAAACAGTTTGTTTGTTTTTTTTTGCCCTGGCCGGGTAGCTCGGTTGGTTAGAGTGTCGTCCCGACTACACCTGGGTCGCCGGTTTGATCCCCGGTCAGGGCACATACAAGAATCAACCAGTGAATGCATAAATTCCTACCACAACAAGTCGATGTCTCTCTTTCTCTCCCTCTAAAATCAACTTAAAAAAGTTTTCTTTAAGTTAAAATCCAAAGATGTCTTAAATTTCATTTTTTAAAATTAACTTTTTTAAAAATGAAAGATAATTTTAAAAAAGCTTTTTTTGAGGGACATAGGGTTTTGTTTGCTTTCATCCTGAGCGAGAGAGAGAGCTGTGTCAGCAAAACCAAAACGTGGAAGGCTCGGGAGGCCCCCGCTGAGTCAGAAACGACTGTGGAAGCTCTGAGTTCGGGTCATCTATCTATTTCCGAGACAACAACGGTTGGGAACACCTTTCCCACAGCGTTTTTTCACGTGGGAAAGACAGAGAAAACTGGGGCAGAGACACCAGGCCCTTCGACTCAATGGGAACAAGAGTAAGTGAGACATTAGAGATCATTGTTCAGATGATTTAGGGAGTCCGTTGGTAAACCTACAAGGATGGCTCTTCCAGTCTCTCGGTTGAGAAGGATTTCTACGGAAGCAGAAGCCCTGGGATAAACTGGAAGCACCCAGACGAAGGGGAGGGCGGACAGACGCATGGAGAGGACAGCCGCTGCCCAAGGGCCCGTGCGCTGTGAGAAACACGGACGCCAAAACGCCCTGAGCAGACGCTTCCCCCGCTTCTCCCATGCGCAAAGCGACAACTGGAGCGAAGGCTTGACAAACACAAAAATGAAACGGCCCACCAAGAGTTTTCCGTACACTTGAAACAATGCAGCACAGCCAGGCTGTAGAAACCATTTGTTAAAAAAATATCTCCCTTTAAAGTGTGTGCAGAAGCTGAAGGAGTCCCCTGCCGGTGCACAGGCAGTGTGCAGACTCGGCTGACTTCACCAGTTCCTGTCCTCTCCTACATCCGTGTCGCGGTTCGGTCCTGACTCGGGTCCTCGGGTCCCAGCCACCAATTCCGGAGCAAACACCATCCTTCTGACGCCTGGACTGTCATCAAGCTACTACCGGGGTCATATCCCACAACTGCAAAGAGAAGAACATACACAGTGAGCTAAAATTCAATAGTCCTTATTGAATTCTAACAAGTCCTTGTTATTAAAGGGCAACCAGTCCTTATCACTAAAGTCAGCTGAGTTTTTTAAATGAATAAGCAACTAAATTCCGTGCTAACACGATTCTAAGGTCTTTAACACAGAGTTTTCCTTTGAAAGGGACAACACGACCTCAACGACAGGGCTAGGTGGCCGGACGTTGTAACAGAGCCGGCGGAGAGCAAGGGCGGGGGAGTCGCTGAGGGCGGAAGGGACCGAATGGGTGTCAGGCACGTGCTGTGTCCTTTCCGCATCTTTTCTCACGTGACCCTCCAAGCAGCCGTGCGAGGTGCCTCTGTTTCGGAAAGAGAGGACCGGAGCGCACCGCGAACTCGCTCCAAGTTGCAGAGGCCTGGGGCTTCTGAGGGCGTCGTCGTAACCACCGTGTCCTGCTGCCGCCTCCAACGATGGACCAGGAGGGGCCCGGGGAAGCAGAGCTCAGGGTGCTGGGCAGGCCCGTGCGGGCCTCTGTGTCTTCAGGAAATGACGCGGGGCGGCCCTTCCTGCCCCGGACCTCCGCTCTGGCACTGGACCACCGGCCTCAGAGGCAGGCCGGGGGGGCGGGGGGGTGATGCTAGTGGGATAACGGATCCCGCCGGGGAAAGACCTTGTCTGCTGCTTGCTGGCTTATTCAGGTCCTACCATCCACTCTGGGCTCATCCCAACCCCCCCCCCCCTTCAGGAAGCCCCCTCCGGCAGCACCGTCTCCCTCGACGGAACGCTGAGAGTGGCTCTTGTCTGTATCGTGCTGCTGGCCGCTGCAGGTGACCTATTATTGCCCATCTAAGAGAGTTTTCCAATAAGCCCCGGCCAGGCAGCTCTGTAGGTTAGAGTGTCCATCCCTCTACGCCAAGGTTGTGGGTTCAATCCCTGGCCAGGGCACATACAAGAAGTAACCGATGAATGTATACATTTGTGGAACAACAAACTGATGTTTTCTCTCTCTCTGTCTCTGTCTCAAATCAGTAAATGAGAGGATGTCCCAAGAGACTAGCTGCTCCTTGCGGGCAAGAGCCACGTCTTATCTTGGTGTGCACAGCCGGTGCCGGGCGTGCGCCTGGTATGAAACAGGTTCACAGACACGCTGGCTGCCAAGGGCAACCTTCCGAGGAAGCTTCCCGTGGCCTTGAGCTCCTGTCCGCCCACTCGTGCAAGGCCAAGGGTGGACAGCCCCTGAAGTAAGACCGCGTCCTACCTTAATAACCTTGTCGGTCCCCGCGGTCAGCAGCCAGCCCCTGGTGGCGTCGAAGTGCACGTGCACGATGCCGTGCTTGCTGTCGTGGAAGGTGGCCGTGGGCGCTCGCCTGCGGGGCGCAGAAAGCGTCCGGGAGTGAGAGGTCGTGGCGCAGGAACAAAGGCTATCCAGGGTGGCGGCAAACTCTAACTGTCAGTCAGCCAAGTGACTGACACTGCGTCGCCATCAGAAAGGCCTACCTCGAGTCCCCCGTGACCTTTTTTAAAGTAAAAGACTCTTATATTCTCCGAAATGAGAAAGGGATGATGACATTTTCGAAAGTCCCTTGTGGATTATTTGTTGCTTTAGGAGAGTCTTTGAAAATCTCTGTGTTTTTGACAAATTGAAAAAAAAAAAAAACAAAAACAAAAACCCTCCCACCAGCACCAGCATGTTTTGGCCGAGTTTGACCTCGGAAGGACTCCCCGGTAAAACAGTCACCCAAACACTGTGCTCTGCTTTCCGATCTGTGCACTGTTTTACCGAGAGGGCCTGCCGGCCAGCCGCCCAGGTGCGCTGGAGGCGGAGCAAGTGCTTCCGCAGGGAAGAGGCGGGAGCACCAGTGAGGTGGGGGAGGGGCGGGAACCTGCGAAAGGCACAGCTCTTCTCTGACCTCGGGCGGGGGGTGCCCGCCCCCCCGCAGTGGGCTGTCTGAACGCCACTGTTTCTTTTTTTTTTATCGATAGCTACCTCTGGGGAATAGATCTTCCGCATACTAGAAGTGGTTACTTTAAAATATTTAGAATTGAAGATTTAGGTTTCATCTGCAACCCCTCAGTTACACCCTCTGGGTCTGTGTCTTTATGTATAAAAGGAAGAATCGAATGGGAGTGTCTCTGAGATCGCATGCAGCTCTCTAACTTAATGAGAAAAATTCGTATTAATTTCTTCGTGTATGGTGAGTGGGAAATAACAGTGAACAGAAATCCGTAGGGAAGGGCATCTTAATTTATATTTGATATTGATAAATGATCATGAAAATCATCTAAGGGCTATTGTAAAAGAATGCTTTGTTTTATTAATTTGGAAGAATTCCCCTTAAATGCTGATTTGCTCTGGTGCATTCCTTTTATTTGGAAAAAAAACCAAACATTTTAACGCTGGTGCATTTTAAACGTTTGTGTTTGCACACATGGCTTGTAAGACACCCATCTAGCACCTAGATGATGTGACTGCACACGAGGTGCCGGAGGTCTGTGGGGTGGGAGAATTAGGCCCCCGCTTCCCTAGGAAACGCTGCCGGAATCCACTGAAAAGGGAACTCGCTGCAGAGCGCTCTGTTCACGCGTGGGCCAGTTTCCAACTAGCTGGCAGGAAAGAGACAGCTCAGATGCGTCCCTCCTGCTGAGCACGCTGAGACGCAGCAACTCGCAGTCTTGGGTTTCTGGGCAAGACTGACCAGCGAGACCGCGTAGCCCGGCAACTGGTCGTGTTTGCTCTTAGGCTCAGGGGCTCAGCTCTTCTGGGCGAAGGAGACCCCTGGGGACTGGTCCAGCCCCTGCACGAGACACCAGCGGGGGCCAGAAAGTGCACCCCGGGCTCCTGGGGGCTTCTTGGGGAGGCCAGGATACAGAAGGCTCTGCCGGGAAAACATCCCTTGGCAACGCACACGCCCCTGGGGCTGAGAGGCGCTCTTTGCGGGTACTCTCTCCGCTCCTGTCTCCCGGGAGAACACCGCGTCTTGGCAGACAGGAGGGCTCTGCGCCCTTGCCCGGATCCGTATTCTAACCCCGCAGGAACCAGGGCACCCGCAGTCCTGACCGAGGTGCCGGGCGCGCGGCCCGCAGGCCGCACTGGCCCCCGCGGCGTGACACCTCCGCGGGCTGCCGGAACTTACTCCTCGTCGGTGATGGCCTCGTGGCAGCTGTCGCAGACCCGCACTTCAAACTCGAAGCCCATCAGCGGGATGGAGGAGCGTTTGGAGCTGCACTTGCCGCAGACCGCCTTCCCGCACTTGCGGCAGTGGTGCTGCGGGGACAGAGAACACGCGTGCGTGACGGCGGCCCAGCCCCGGGCCCCCAGGCAGGCTCGGGCGTGGTCGCCGGCTTCCAGGCGAGCGCGCTCCACCGGAGAGCCGCGGACGGCGGAAGGGGGCGCACCAGGTGTGGTCGCCTTTCGCTCTCCGTTCATTCAGCATGCGGACCGCTGGGAAACAGGTCTGCCCGCCCCCTCCCCCCATTCCCGGTCCTCTCCGGTCATCGCCGCTAGGAGCTCCAGAGGACCCACGCAGCACTCAGGTCATGGAGGAGCTGGGGGTGGTGACGAGGAAGTGCCCCCCACCCCAGACGTCAGGCTGCCTGAGGCAGGAGATCCTGAGTGGGCCCTGCGTCCCTCTGCTGCCCACACTCCGGCCACTCCCAGCCTGGGCTTTCTGAGGGAGGAGCAAAGCCAACCGCGGCACCAGGCTGGGAATGCTGTGTTCTAGGCAGATCCAAGTAACTAGGCCTGGGGCAGAAGGGGGGCAAGTAAAACTAGGAGGAAGAGACAGGTACCGCTTCTGTGACTGCATGTTTTGGTACCGACACGGGCCGAGCTAACCTGGCTCATCTTGGCTAACGTGACTAACTAACGATCCCTCTAACTTGAAGGTGCATCTCAGTAGCTGCCACTGGAATTCTAAAGCCAATCCCCAACTGCTGGCCGGGGGCAAGGCACCACAGAAACTGAATCCGGCAGGAATGGGCTGCGGTTGGGAGACGGGGGACATCCGTGTGCGGCCCCAAAGCGACTCCGCGGTGACCCTTCACCCCTGCTCCCTCCAAGACCCCGCGGTGAAGCCGCCTCCACACTGTCACCAGGCGACGGAGCGCCGCGGCGCCCACCTGTCTCAGGCCAATCTTCCTGCTGTCCCACATCTGCTTGAAGTTCCAGAAGAAAGGCTGGTCGCACTTCTGGCAGGAGTCGCTGTCCAACCACTCCGGGGTCTTGTCAGAGAGAGCACAGAGCAGGTCACAGTGAGACGCAGCGGCCACAGCGGCCCCAGCGACAACGGCGCAACTTACAGGGCCAGGAGGCGTTTATAAGAAACAGAAGCACGACTTCTCGGTCATTTACAACATACTCGCTGATGCCTGTTATTATGTGCCAGGCCCTGGGGAGGTAGTGACATGGAAAGAATCTGGTGGGGAATCATCATGGACGGTAAAACGCGATCATTAATAATAATATCATTAATAATATCATCATTATCGTTAATAATAATATCATTAATAATAATAATTTGAACGAGTGCAAGGGCGGAGGCCTGAAAAGAAGCTCAGGGTGCCGAGGGCACCAAGACCCAGGCCGGGGTCCAGTGGGGTTCGGGGGGAGCCGGGGTGTTGCCAGCAGTCATAACAGCCACTCCGAGGACTCAGGTCTGTGTCCCATAGTCTCTGATGATACGCACTCATACTTGCTCTGACCGGGTCCGAGTGCATCTAACTGCACATGACATGCACACACAGTCACCCCTGCTGGAAGGACGGGGGCTGACCACAGCGGGTGCTCGGGGACGCCACCTGTCCGCTGTCCACGAGAGGCAGGGCCGGAGTGTCTGAGTCTTCCGACTTTGTTCGCTGTCTCCCAGCCCCATCGTAAGCACCTCAAACTACGTCACGCAGGGCTAGAAGTCGTGTTAGGCCTAAAGCTATTCTTGAGCAAATCTCTAGAGGCGATGCATGTAGTCACTCTGCGTTTGCCTCTAGAGTTCCGCGTTCGTCTCTGCAAGCCCGTCAGCTGGCAGAGGCGCTGGCCTCTTTCCACAGGTCGCCAAACCCAGGGACCCTGAAAAATAATCCCAACCCAGGGCTTCTTCCCAAGAGGGAGTTCCAGGGAACTTCAGTCTGACTCTGACTGTTGACGAGGCCTGAGATCAAGCAGGCCGGTGAACTGTGGCGAACACAGGCCTGCCTGCGTCCTCTCCAAGACCTCTCTGAGACCACGACAATCAGCAGCAGGCACTACCAGCCCCGGAAGGCCTCGTCCTGTGCCTGTGAGCCCTTTCTGAGGAGCACCTGTTTGGGAACAGGTTCAGGGATGTAGCCTCTGCTCCCACCTTTAGGCAGAAATAAACCTGAAGCCAAACAAGTTTCCAGGAAGGGAAGTCAGAAGGTGACACTGTAAGCGCTCTAATTCTTGGTCTGTTTATTTTATTAAGACTGACGCAAAGCAGTAAGCTTTCGTTTGCCTCATGTTCTAGTCGGTTTACAGACAGATTTAATAAAACAATGCCCAGTTTTTAGCTAAAGACCACGTTTTACCCCTAAAAGGCACACCCCTATGTTGTGGTTCTTCACGTCTCCTCTGCCCGTCTGTGCTCTGAATCGCTCCGCCGGATTTCAACCAGTCCACCAGCGCCCGTGCTCACGGAGCAGTCGGGCAAGATGGCTCAACGGACCTCCCACCAACCAGCGGGTCTCCTTTCCCCGTTTGGGCCTTTGTCCACCCAGGGCAGAGGTGGGGTGCTGCCCCTGATGAGTCACCCCTCGCCCCAAGATGTGCCTCAGCGGGGCATTCGGATTCCTCTGAGCCAAAGGCAAGGGGGACCCTGCAGGCTCCCAGTAAACTGTCACCTGTCTCTCAAAGAATTTCAGGGAGGGACCTTACCCATTAGAGCTGTCACCGAAAATTCACTTTGCGACCCATCTGCAGGGAAGGGCAAACTCCTGGTTACCGAACCCCTGCTCTTCTCACCGCCCCACGGTGGCCTTCCGTCCCTCTGAAGCCCCACGGTGACCCTCAGCTCAGAGTGTCACTGCTTCCTCGTTCGCCCTGTCTTTGAACCTCTCACGCATGTGGAGTTCCCACACGCGCATGCGCGTTCCATGGGGGGGTTTCCTCGTGTGCGCCTGTTTCATATCGACGTGAAATTAGACCAGCGGGAAGAACCCCGGGGGGCAGAGGGAAGCTTCCTCCTCCTGCATGGTGCACTGAGGGAAAGGCCCACGGCTCCGCTCCTGCGCCGGTCAGGACGGGTAGGCCAGGGGAGAGGCCAGGACAGACGGGGTGCGACTGTCCCTCACCTAACATGGGCCTCCACGCAGGATCGCGGGGCCACGGCCGGCTGGCTAGCACACAGCTATTGATTTCCCTGCCTGCGTGCTGATGGGTACTTCCAAAAGCAATATGCTCCAATTCCTTACTTCCTAACAGTAATAATCATTTTAATTAGCTACTAATAGAACTCCCGTGGATTTACACTTTGAACAAATCAAGTTTTAATCTGAAGCACTTAACTACTGGCATTTGAAAGATATTACATTGTGGGGTAATGCTCTCTTGAAACGAGACCGGGTGAGGACAGGGAAAGAAGTTGGGACATCACTTTTACCTTTTTAAAGTGTTGCTTTTCTGAAATTAGAAAAATACACGCTGTCGGTGGGAAAGTTTACCCACCATAACTCAAGGGAAGTGATAATAGTCACCTTCAATGCACTTGTCAAAGGGGACACTCAGTAGCACATCCGCTGTTACGTAGCTCCAAGGAGAAAGAGAGCACTCGTAGAAAAAGAATGTCACAGTAACACTAAGTAACAAATGCTCAAAAATGACAATATATATGTATGTATATCTGGAGAACTAGCTAGGACGTGACTCATAAAGAAGCATTAAGTAATTATTTCTAATGTTTCATTAATACCAAGCTGAGGACTTCATCGGGTACCGTATCTCACACGAGAGTCACCGTTTCTATCAATAACACGAGCTTGCTCTTTTCGGAGGGAACTTACACCAAAGGGCTGATCACCTGAAAATGGAAGTTTCCTTTTTCTCACCTGAAGTTTTGTTGTGAATGTTGCAGCAGAATTAAAGTCTAAACAGCTTAATGTCAGTCTAGGTTCTTACGAAGTCTCCATTACATAAATGTTAATTGCCAAGGTGTGAGGGGCAAAAAAAAATGAGAAATTCCTTTTTTACTAGAATTTGTTACTCTCTGGCATGTCTTGTTTCACGGGTTAATTATGGAAGAGAGAAGGAACGAGTGGGCGGGGCGGTAGGGCTGGTTTGGGGCGTGGCCAGAACGGCGGAGCCCCGCCCAGCGGCCCTGCACCTACCTCCTGCCTCTCCACGTCCATGTTCCAGACCACGATGCCACCGTCACTGCCGCAGGAGATGAGCTGCCGCGTGTGCTGCGCGTACGACAGGGCCTGGATCTTGTCACTGGGAGAGAAAACAGGCGTTAGCCTCCGCTCAGGAGAGCAAGGGAAGGGCTCGAGGGACGGAGGTGCAGCGGTCAATGGATCACTGCGCTCACCACTGAGCGCCCAGAGCGGATCTTAGAAAGTCGCTGGAACTGTCGACGTGCCAACTGCGTGCAGGATGCTCGAGGGGTCAAAGTCAAAGTTCTTATATTTCAGATGCAGAGGCCCCAAGCAGAGGTAATCTCTGTCCTTTGCCAGCATTTAAGGAGACAAGCTGATGGCCAAATTGGCTATAACCTCTTACTGGTTCCTTCCCTGATTAAATACACAGTTCTGTCACGTGCGTTCGTATTATACCTGCTCCGGAGTCATGGTTTTCTATATTTTTCCCTGGCCGGGGGTCCGACCTACAACCTTTCTGTGTACGGGACGATGCTCCAACCAACTGAGCTCTCCGGCCAGGTCACAATATTCTCTCGTGCAAAAGGTATCTTTTAAGAGTTTTAGAGATGATCCATGGAGAAGCCCACTGGGTTAACCAGACAGAGAACCCTCATTGCCCGAGGTGGGGCGCCCAAATGGGGGACTGACCCCAGGCCTGCGGTTTCTTGGCCCCCGAGTGACTCCAAAGCAGCAGTAGACTTGAGCTTCACCAGCAATTTCTCTAGTGTTTATTCCCTCTTTACTGATTTGTTTATTTTTCTTTCCAGTCCATGCATGGCTGACCAGCGATTCTCTCCTGGCGCCAGCCACGATGGGGAATTCAGTTTTATGGTCTGACAAGTGGATGATCACGAAGGAGAGAGTCCACGGAGATATATTTTGCCTCGGGTGGGAGACAAAAGGGGATCCGATTGCTTGGTCGTTTTTGTTTGAATATTTTTCTCTTCTGAGCTCAAACCAATGAAGAATCCTGTACCCCCCGGGGAAGGAAAGCCGCTCTTTGAAATTTGGATTGGCGGTGGTTTGTGCTTGCCTCTGACCCTTGGTGGAAGCTGTGGGACGGCAGCCGTCCAGCTCTCTGTGTCTGTGACGATTCTGCTTGGCCTTGGCCTTCACAGTCTGTGGTGCGGGGATGCTTTCCTCTCCCCGGAGGGTGCCGACGAATTAGATGACAGCTCGTCGTAAATGATAAGCTTGTTCTGTTCGGCTCATGAAGATGCACAAGTGCTTTCACAGAAAATAAGGAACTTGAAATAAAAATTTACTACCAGACTTACTACTAGGCTACTAGACTTAAACATAAAAATTATTTTCTAGAAAATGCTAACTTAATAAAATTTTAAGACTCCACGTTCACAGAGTTAAGGTAATGCTTTGGCAGCTGAGACTGGTATGGATGAGTTGTAAAAGACAGCTGTGTCTTCCTCTGGTTGACCAGTTCATTTCTCTGACATTTTTATAGGGTAACAGGCCAAAGAAGTGAGCGCTATGCCTGTATGTTTAAGGTTATAAAAAATATAAATTTGTGTTCAATTAAGTTGCATAATTTTCCTGATAAACTTTTATATAAATAGTAAGTATGTTTTATAGCATATCAACTCATAGGTAATTCCCAAGATCTTCAGGTAACTTAACACAGACTAATAAACTGAGGTAACCAATAGGTTAATCATTATCTAGGCGCCTGCCTAGATAATTTCTAAGTAACTTAGAATACCCACACTTTGACTAGGAAGCATATTAAGTGCATGTATATTTGCTTCTCATTTTTATAGTCTATGGACAGGCTAGCAGTGAGTCATGTCAATGAACGGGCGCGGTGTTGCCCTTTACGGGGGTGGAAGAATGGTGGATGGGCCACGGCAGAAATTCCCGTGTGTCCGTGAGCTCTGCTAGTGCGCCCGCGTGCCCGTGCACGACGGACAGTTCTTGATTCTCCGCACCCTGCCTCCTCCCGATTTCCCCTATGAAAAACAGGTTCGTTCTTTGGTTAATTATTATAATTAAAGTGGGTGGTTGAGACTACGCCAGGTCCAAAAGAAAAAAAAAAATACAGAGGGAGTAGGTGTGTGTGGCAGGGTCTCCATGGAAATGCTACAATCAGAGAGAAACTGTAACCACATCCAAACGTGTACAACGGAACACCACTCAGCCATAAGGGAAGACGAAATACTGCCGTTTTGTCGGCGTGGATGGACCTTATGCTAAGACTATTATGCTAAGTGAAACAGTCAGAAAAAGTGCAGCACCATGTGATTTCCCTCATCTGTGGGACATAAACCGAAACGTGAGGACACGGACCGCAGTGCGGTGGTTCCCGGAGGAAAGGGGGTGGGGTAGGGTGGGGTGGGGGGGTGCAGGGGGCCTACCATGTGGTGACAGAAGATGGATTCACTTTGGGTGGTGAGCTCACAGTTCTCACAGACCTCATATCAAAGAAATGTACACATGAGACACACAGATCTCCCATCACAGAAATGTGCACGTGAGACCTGTATGGTCCTCTTTACCAACGTCGCCCCAATAAATGTAACAAAAATGATGAAACAGGTCTTCACAAAAAAGCAAAAGCTTACTTTGTGAAGAGTCACAATGTTTATTAACAAGAATCACTTTGACTGCCACTCGTTAGCCCTCGCTCTTGTGACTGTTTGACATGCACTGTATCGCCCGTGTGTCTTGACGGCCTCAGAGGGTTCTCTCCCCGGCGTCACCCTCCCTGCAGAGGGGTGAGAGCCGGGATCAGACAGCAGAGCTGCCGCACGGAAGCCTCCACAGCCGTTGGCAGCGGCTGGGTCCGTGCCCACTCTCCGTCCCCTCTTTTTGGTGAGATTCCGCCCTCTAGGAGAACTCGAGTTCCTAATGCTTTTATCTATCACGTGTTTGGCCAAGTAGTTAAAACCAGGAAGGACCTTTCTCCCCCTCCATCCTACTAACTCCCCAGTGCTACAGTGAGGAGCCTTCCTACACCTAGGGTTTGCCAGGACAGCATCTGCACCCACGGGTCCTGCCTGTCCCCCCAAACCCAGAAGCAGCTGCTCGCGAGAACTTCACTCGGCGATGGCCAGGTGGGGGGCGGTGCGGTGGGCAGCGGGGTGTGATGGAGGTGGGCAGAGGGGGAAAGGGGACCTTCAGTAAAATGAAAGAAAGAATTTTACTTCCTTTTAGAACTTCACATACAATTTACCTGACACAGGAGGAAAAAGCACACATTCTATGTATACGTGTTTATGAACAGCCTATTTATTTCCCAAAAGGCTTTGAGGAGGCCCGTGACCCAAGTCACACACGCGGCGAGAACAGGAAGAGAGGAACCTGGAGCTGGGACCGTGACAACAGTGAGCAGACACACAGGCTAAGTGTGCCAGGGGTCATGGCCACGACCGGGCCGCAGCCAACCTGCAGTTCCCAAGGAGGGACCAATGCATTAAATTGCCAAACAGTCTCAGCAGCCTAGGAAAACACTTACAAGAAAAATTAGAGTCATAAAGCCGGTCATGCAATGTTTGATACTACCTAAGACTGAAAAAGGGTCTAAAAGCCCACGCACGATGACTGGATTTGACAAGGTGGGCACGGGGCAGTAAATGTCCTGATTTACGCTTCGATAATATCCCACTGGTAACTGACACTCGGAAAACATAAGTGGTCTGTGAAACTGGAAGCCTTCCCCCTGCCTCTCCCTTCACAGAGCTAGCAGCGATGAGCACGTTCCCTGTGCCGCAGGGACCGAAACTACCACCGTGCTTCCAGTGCAGACAACCTGGATCGAAGCAGAACTTCCTTAGCTCTTTCTCCCCCTGGACCTGGATACCGTTTTGCTATCATCAATCACTCTGGCGCTAAAAAAGCTCTCTTCGCTTCCACGGGATGCTCGCCCATGAAACCACACCGGCTGCCAGAACGCGGAGCTGCTTACACGGGAGGAGAGCGTGCAGCCGCAGAACCGGGACAGAAGCCACAGGGAGCTCTAGTCCTGCCTGCTCCCCCCAACCAGCCCCCCAGTTCCCCAGCTCGCCGACCTGGCCCCCCATTCGGAGCTCTGACTACCGTTAGTCTCGCCGGGGAAGGCGGGAAAAGGGGTCACCGCGGGGCACCAGCAGGGCTGCCTCCAGCCCGACAGAAGCTCTTTGGCCTCTAAAGGAGAAACGAGACAGAAAACATCTCTGGACACAGCTGGGGTTGGGGGTGTGGTGTGGACCACTTGTTATTATTTCGTCCTCATTTGTCTGCCTCGGGTGCCTGAGGCGGGGGTGGGGAAGCCCCCGGAGCTGCTGGGGGAGCAGGAGGGTGGGGTTCACAAAGACGGCTTGGGAAGGAGGCGCAGGGGCGTCCGACCCACTCCAACAGGGCGACACCGACGGACGGACGGACGGACGCTGAAGGCGTTTACTCCTCCAGCTCTGTGATGCCAGGGCCACCCTCTCGGGCGAAGACCTGCGAGCCTGAGTCCCATGGAGCACCAGGCAAGAGCCTCCTGCCATGACTCCCGGGGAAAGCCAGCGCTTACTGGGGCTCCGGCCCTCTAAGGCCTAAGGGTGTGACCTCCTCAGGGTCAACTCCGAGTCCAGTCTGTTCCATTTTCTCAACGACCAACTCTGCGTTTCTTAGCCCCTGGAGGCCTCCTGGTTTAGGGGGCGTTTCTCTGGGACCGAGGGACTGTACCTCTCTACTTTACAGCTTTTCCTCGTCCCAAACAACATTTTCCACGAGACACTTGGCACCCGGTGACGCTGGTGTGGAGTGCCGTGCAGCCTACCCCCCGGGGACGGTCCCGCTACACGGCCTGCGGCCCTTGTCTACCACTGTGTGAAACAAAACTACTTGTAAGCTCCTCCGAGCAAGTCCAGCGTTCAAAACCCGCGTTCCGTTTCTCTGAGCGAGCCCCGGGTGACAGGAGTGCCCCAGCAGGCTGCGCGATGATGACCAAGTGCACTAAACAGGACTGCGCTCCGTTTCTCTTCTGCACTCGACGTGGGCGGTGCCAGCTCCTTCTACATGGTCTCCATGCATGTCGCCCGGCCACGGAGAGACATACCAGGAAGGGACGCCTTTGAGGAGCCGACGACAAGGTCCACGTGGCCCCACAGGCCAGCTGTTCTCCCATGTGGAAAAGGAGGGCTTAATAGCCCCATCTCTAAAACGAAAAACTCTAACACTAAAATAATTCCCTGGGCACGGGCCCTCCGAAACGGAGTTAGTTCAGTAATCCCAAACCGTGGCTTTGACTACCTGGGAGACTCTCAAGACGGGCGTTTCCAGGCCCAGCTCCAGTCAGAGCTGGCGGGGCGCCACCCGGCCAGATCCCGGGGGCACTGCTGACGCCCGCGGTGGCGACCGGCCGCTTGCACCGCCGGGTGAACACCTCGCAAGCAGAAACCACTCAGAGCTCCGCAGCAGCAGATCCGGAATCCTTCTCTGCAGTTTGACCCGACTTTGCCCCCGGGGGACTGTGGGCAGCGTGGAGCAGGACAAACCCCCCGTGTGGTCTGAGTTCTCCAGCAGGGAGCTGCCTGGGAGGCCTGCTACCCCACGGCTGCCCCAGCTCCGGGGGGGCAGGGGGCGGGGCGGCAACGACCCAAGTCTCCAAAGACAGGGCCCAGGAATCCATTCTAAACAGATTCCGAAGGTGCTCTCTGGGCATGGGCACGGCCCAGTCGGACAGACGGCTGCTCCAAGGAAACGACCAGCCTCCTCTGCTTTTGCTTTCGGCTGCCTGAGCTCTGCCTGTGTAGGGCAAAGAACCTGATCGGAATGTGGGGGGGCGCACCCGATGAGCATGTGCGGAAGGACCAGATGTGCAGGGCAGGGGAGAATATTCTCTCTGCGTTTCTCCTTCAGCTGCCCGAGTCTTGAAGCCACGTGTGACCCCGACTACAGAAATTCTGTAACCCTTCAGGGCTTGCACTTCTAGCTCTTTCTCTTGCACTCTCAAATTTTGCACTCTTATAGTAACCCCCCTGGTTCCAAGTTTCGCCTTTTATTTATTTGCTGTCACTGTTGTATCTCACAGTTTCGGCAAGGACGCTCAGGCCCCCTGCAGGATAAGGTGGGGTGTGAGTACACAAACCGACAGGCGGCCATAAATCACAGTGGCCATTCTTGGCTCCCGGGCCCCGTCCCTTCCCACGCTGAGCTCGTGCCCTGGAGAGCGGCCCACACTCCTTTGTCCCTGCTTTCAGCCGGGAGCCTTTTCCCAAGCGTTCTTCACGAAGCACCCGCAGTCTTACTTGTGTCCTTGGAGCTCGATGGCCGTCCCCTTTCTCCCGCCGATGTCCCACATGATCACGGAGTGGTCGGAGCTGCCCGAGAACAGCACCCGCTGGACAGGGTCCCAGCACAGCGCGGTCACCCCACCTGAGAGGCCAGACAAGCGGCACGTTAGTCACGGAGGGACAGCGCCGTTCACCGGGGCAACGGGGGTGCGAGCGGGCGGGGTCTGGTGCGGTTTCTGGCACACGGTAACGTTTCTCTGGGAGGGACAAACAATGTGCCCCCAAAGGGAAAAAGACTGGCTCTGAGAATGAGAGTCCCACAGTCTAAAGCACTTTTTCCCAAAATGTAAATGTGCCACAAAATCAGTTACTATAAAGGCCAAAGAGAAATGAAAAAGGCAACTGACTGACCTTTAAACAATAGACATAGTTCTCGGCCGAACGGAAAACACGGCACTGCCTGGAAATATTAGCCATATTTTTTTTAACTGCTGTCTACCTTCTGCCCAGACAACACTAGGTAAGAAGTTTACAGGGTTTTAAAAAGCTCGGTTAGATTTTGTAATCTTGAACATCAGCTATAATTAGACAAAAACTTCAGAATTTGACATTTCTTTCCTCTCTTTGGAAATTTAACTTTATAGATTCAGGGCAAATCATTTCCATCCTGACAGGTCAGCTTCTGCAGCTGTAACAGGGGTTGCGGCCGGGATGGCGACCCCCGCTGCTGACGGCACCGCCGAGCCGGCCCCTGCAGCACCCGCTGCGTGGGAGTTGGAGTGGGTCTCACACGGTGCCGCTCCGTAAGCGGCACAGCATGGACCAATGGACCAGGCTATTAGCATCGCGCTGTGGGTGTGGCTACAAAATAAGATGCGGATGGTTGTCTCCGGCAGTGCCCTGAGATGCCTACAAACGCTTAAGAATGTGAAAAGTACTTTTTCTTTTAAAACATTTATTGAAAAATACTAAAATCTGAATTTTTTTTAAATAAAAACAGTATGCTCTGAAAAGAACATAAAATAGCTTCTTCTTCGTTGGAATCTGATGTTTTTCTTCTTTACAGTATAAATCTGTTCTAATAAAGTGTTTCACTTTAAAAGCTTTTAAGAAAGTTTCTCTTATATAATTGTGAGAGTTTTTTTTCAAGATCAAAAGGAAGAAAACCCTCCACTATTCTGAATTATGCTTAACAGTGTCTTCCTACACCTGCACAACATGCCGCTTGTATTCAGTGCATGTTTCTGTCCATGTAATTGTCTCCTTCCCTCCCCACTTCCTGCCCCTCCACCCACCTCACACACTCACACACACTCACACACACACTCACAGACACCCCACAGCACCAACCAAGCGCAGAGCCAGCAGCAGACAGGCCCTGGTATTGTCTGCTAAATGAATGAACAGGCAGATGAATGAAAACACAAAAATCTTTTTTTTTCATCCATAAATCTTATTTGGAATTCCTCTGTGACACTTACTTAGCTAGCCTTTCAATGCTAAATGTTTCCTCCTTCTGCAGAACTCCTCTCCTTCTTTCCCTGCTATTAAACTCCATGGTTATAGTCAAACAAAACAAAACAAAACAGAAAACCACCCCTCGGTATCTGGCCGTGTCCTAGCTGGGGATATGCATTCTGTTCTGCCAAACGCGTGTTCATTCCCACACAGTACCTGGGTGGCTTCTCCTGTTAGACCCCCGAGGCAGAGGCCCCCAACTGTCCACCAGACTGCTCGGCCCCTTCCGCGGAGCACGGCCCGGACGCTGCTGTCCTGCCAGGACCACGCGCCCCACCCTCTTGGTCTAGGGGGCGCGTGGCCAGTGCTCAGCAACAGAACCCAGGAGGGAGCCCAGAAAGTACGCAGAAGCACTAACAATTTGCATGTGTTCCGGGCCCAGGCAGTCAAGATGTCCCTTCTCCACCTCCTCCTTGTGGCCACCGAGACCCCACGGCCTGCACAAGCTGCGCTGCAGGGGGAGCCTGGGTCCCACGGGAGGTAGATGAGCAGCCTCCGCACGGGATTGATACGTGAGCGAAAAACCCACTGCCGCTGCGTCACGGCCCGGAAATGTAGACAAGTACTTGTTAGGGCAGCTAGCTTCACTGTTACAGTACTTGGTGGACCGTTAGAATAAGGCTGGCCCAAGAGGAAGGTGGGGGTCACCAAGAGCTTCATAAATGTCAGACGCATGAAAAGAAGTTACTAGTTTAGACCGTGAATATCGATGCCTAGACTTTAAACAGAATTTAGCCTCCAAAGCAATCCCTCACAAACTCTGAACTGGTTCTTCCTCCAAAAGGCGTCTCGACTCCAAGCACTTCTCACCACCTCTACTGCTGTCTTGGTGCGAGCCACTATCATGCAGAGCAACTCTCTCACACACCGGCCAGGCGCGTGGAAACCAGCCCAGCCGGGCAGGTCGCAGCTCACAAAACTGCATGTTTACTCAGCTTGCCATCCAGCAACCTCACGTCCAGGAATGTGTCTTGAAGGCTCTACTGCCCCCACCGCCACCAAGTAACACGAAAAAACACACGGGCACAAGGCTATCCATCGCAGCGTTGTGTGGAACAGCGAGACATTGGAAACAGCCTCAGCGCCCCTGCCAGGCGGCGGGTGAGTGAACCACGACGCATGCACACAGAGTACTCCGCAGGTATGAAGAAGAATGAGGATCTCTCGGGTGGAGAGAACGTGACTTCCAGGACGGACTGTGAAGTGAGAAAAGATAAAGTGCCAAAGAATCACCTACGTTATGCTACCTTTCATCTAAGAAACTGGGGGTAAATGAGACATTGAAGAGATTCATCCACAGCAGGCGTGTGCAAAGGCTGGGGAGAAGGGAGGAGGGAGAGCGACACTCTTCGCAGCGTGCTTTTGTCTGGTTCTGAGTTTGTTGCACATTCTCATAAACAAGTAATAATTAAAGCGATGAGTGTGTGTGTGTGTGTGTGTGTGTGGCGGCCCCACACAGGAATGTAAGCAGAAACAAGTGAACCTGGCCATTATTACAAATGAACGGTGCAACCACCACACTCTAAAGCAGGGCGGGGGAGAAGTGAGAACAGTAACTTGGGAAAATGTTGACAAGCCACACACAGAAAGATCTGAACACAAAAACAGCACCCTAGTTAGTAGGTTTGCATTTCGGGGGGGCAGGGCAGTAACGGCTGGGAAAACTCCAGGGCAGGTGGAACGGGGAAACCGAGACAAGAGGATTAAACATGGCCAAACGGTGTGAACAGCTGGACAGCCAGCGGGGGGGCACGGCAGGACCTCATCGCCCCGACCAAGGACACCTGACAGCCAATGGCCCACGGCTCTCCTCCCTGACCGGAGAACACACAGCTCAGGTCTCCCTGGTCTGGGAAAAGAGAGGGCAGAGACCCAGTGAATGCCACTTCTGCCAGCGAACCCCGGGGACAGGCGGAGTCCTGGGAACAAGTGGCCTCTCGGGGTCCAGAAGGAGCCCACTACATCGTCGGAAGAGCTTTCCAGTGTTTGCGTCCCCACGGAATGTCTTAGATGCCCTTGACCAGCTGTGAATGAGTTAGTGGTGCTGCGGCCGGACTGGCAACGGGCAGACACCGCCGTCCAGGAGTAAGGGCGAGTTAAACCGGAACCTGCTGCACGGGCCTTCGTGTCAGCTAGTGGCCTTCCTGGGCCAGGTCCTGTCTCTCTCAAACACAACGTCATGATGAAATCCTAAGACAACGCTTTAAACGTTATGAGAAAGACAAGATACAATGTCAAGATAACACGTTATATTGGAACTACCTCACAAGGCAGGGCACCCGTGGGCCACACCCGGCTCACCACGCACCGTGGGCGGCAGCAGCTACTCCCCCTCCCCCTGCCCCGCGCCGCCCTGCAGGCAGCGGTGCGACCTCCGCGCACCCCCATGAGCCCCCCGCGGGGTGAGCGCCAAAGCTCGGGCTCCGCGTCTGGCCCACTGATCCCCGATCTGGGACGGGCCCGTCCCTCACGCCTGCGGGGCTCACCGCCTCAACTCTGACCCTGCGTCCACCCACCTCTCGCGCTCCCGTGACCACGGCCACACGTCCAGGTCCCAGCTTTCCGAGGACACTCGCCACCCACTGCCAGAGCAAGCAGCCCCTGTGCTTGAAGACGACGCCCTGGCGGCTTCTCACTGGCACCAGGACAGGGCCCTCGTGGCCGGAAGGACCCTCGCGTCCCTCCCGGCTGCCCCACCTCCACCTCCGAGGTCCGGCGGAGAGCGCTCCCACGTGTTCCCGAGAGCGCCGCCCTCTGGCGCATCTCCACGCCTCGGGCCGCACTGGTTTTCTCTGCCTGCACCGCTCTTCTCGCTTTTTCGTAAATTCCACCCGCACTCCTCCCGCGAAGACCTTCACTCCAGCCGCAGCCCCGCTCCGGGGGAGGCGGTCCTGCACCAGCCCCCCTCCCCACCCCCCCACCACCGCCATCCGAGCGAGGCGCCCCTGCCGCCCCGCGCTGGCACAGCGGGCTTAGCTTCGGCCTCTCGCACTGGGCCGTGGGGAATTTGAGGACAATGGCTGTGCCTTCTCTTTCTGTGACTGAGGGTAGTGGCTCAGGTCAACCAGAGACAGCACGGAGTGCAGAGAGAGGAAGGGGCGGAACCCCTGGGGACCGCAGAGGAGAGGAGAAAGGGCAGCGGCAGGCCCAGAGGGACCTGCAAGACAGCGTGTGCCCAGGGACCAACCAAGGAGCACGGGGACCCGCAGGACGCCACGGGCACTGTGGGAGATGCGCGGTGAGGCCCAGGTAGGATACGGTCTGAACGCGCCGTGGGATTCGGCACCCCGCAGGCCGCCTCGGGGAGAGCACTTGAAGCGGAGTGATGCGGCCGAGGAATCAGGCGGGGGGAGTCGGAGGCAGGCCCTGACTCGGGCTGAGAGTGACGCGCTTGCACCGGTAAGGACGGGCTCCCTCGCGGTGTCACCTGCGGCGGGGTCCTGCCCCAGGGGCTGCCAGCGCGAGGAGGGGGCCGGCCAGTGGGCAGACCCAGGACAACACTCCCAGGAAGGAAGAACAAAGGGCCCCCAGCTGAGCGTGCCGGGGAGCACGCGGCTGACGGCGCGCACACCTGGGAAGGAAGGGAGGCAAGGTGGCAGGAGGCACGGGGGAGTGAGGGGTCAAGGCCCCGGCTTCTCAACAAGGAGGAGAGCAACTGGAGTTGGAATAAGGGTTTAGGGGAGTGAAAGCTCAGGAGGCCGAAGTCAGCGGGGAAACAGGGTAAGATTCTTGAGGGGGTGGGAAGAGTTCTGGGTGGGACCAGGCCAGGCTGGCCAGGGTGTTCTGGGGAAAAAAGAAAAACCCAACCAGAGAACTGAGTCCCGGCCACAGGGGTTGTCCCTGTGCATTCCTGCTCCCAAAGGCGGAGACGACTCAGATGAGCTTCTCAACACCTTTTTGCCTGGATTTAACATTCTCGCCTTCCTTTCGGAAATCCTTTGTGACCTAAGTACTATCATCCCATTTATACCCCCACTCACCTACTCTTGCTCTTGCATGATGTCTAAACTCAATATCAGCCTTGTTCTGTGCTCAGCGGGGGTGTCATCTGCAGACGCCCACTGAGAAACCACGGAGACGGGCGGGGACTCAGTGTGCAGGGCTAACATCCCATATTAAAAATACTGGTGAAAAATCAATCCTCGTCATCTGTTCCAGGCCTTCAAAGCCCAAACATGGGTGTTTTCTCCCACTGCACCTTGTTCCAACGACCCTGAGCAGACCAGGAGCACAAAGGGGCCTTGGGCTGTGAACTGGAAAGAGCCCCAAAGGAAGGGCAGCAGACGAGGAACTTCTACCTTGTGGTGCGACCCGGCTACCCGCGATGAACATGTTTCTCATTTCATCTGTCTTGGAAGTGGGGGTCTGTCTTGCCTCCCTCTCCTCGATCCAAGGAGGGCAAGGACAGACTGAGGCAGCTGTCCCTTTGGCTGGCGGGGGTTTGCCCAGTGGCCACACGGTCTCACACCAGGTCTCACTGACATGTGCCAACGCTGGCTTTCTCCAGGGCCGCGTGACCAAGACCCAAACCGCCACACTTTCCAAACAGGTGGATTCCGATTTTTGTGTTTGGGCTGATGTCGAAAACCTCTGACATTAGGCCGCACTGCGCCGCACGGAAACCAGTCACGTGCGCCAGGCGGGCCTCTGCGCCAGCCCAGGCTGCGCCCCGTCACCTTCCCCACGTGGTACCCCAACCGCAGACCACGCAGCTCGGGGTGCCCGCTCCCCGGGAGGGCAGGGAGCACGGGCAGGTCCTGCGGTCGGCCCCACCTGTGTGTCCTCTGAAGGCTGTGACCAGGCTGCAGGTGTCCGGCTCCAGCTTGAGGATGGTGACTTGGCCCGAGTGGTCCCCAAGGAACACGTGCCGGGTCTCCACATCGAATCTGTCATGTAGGCGTTAAGGACTGTCTCTCGGGACTGAGTGGGGGGCTTTGCGGAAACAATAAAGGGGGGCGGCTCGGACATCGCGCTGGAAGATGCAAAAGGAGACATAAAAAATGAAAAAGGAAGGCACGGTGTTTCTTATCGGACAGTAAGGCCGAACGGGATAAAGGTGTGTCCATTCTCACAACGTGAATTTGTAAATTTAATATGATCCCTATAAAAATATCAGCACTTTTTCCTAGATCTAGATATGTTAATTCTCAAGTTTATATAGAAAAATTGATAAGCAAGAAGAGCCAGAAATATTCTGAAAATAACAGGAACATGGATGGTGAAAGCTAGCCCTATCAGATATTAAAACATGTTATAAAGTGTCTCTAATTAAAAATGGGGTGATGGTGTGCAAATGGACCAATGCGACAGAACAGGAAATCTAGAAATAGACCCCAAAACATATAGAAATTTGCTTCATGTCTAATAAAGGTGGCTCTTCAAATGATAAGAAAAAGATGGAGTAAAAAAAAGATACTAGTACAATCTGGATAGTCATTTGGAAAAATTAAATAGGATTTGTATTTCACATTATATACCAGGACACATTCTGACTGAACTAGAGATCTAAATGTAAAAAGTTAAAAATGTAAGCTCTGGATGGAAGAGTTCCTTTATAACCTTGAGGTGGGAGCAGCTATTGCTATTCAAAAACACAAACAGCCAACACATACATAAGCAAAGCTAAAAGACCAATTGGAAAAAATATTTGCAACACAAGTCACAAAAAGCGCAAATCCCTAACGTATAAAAAGAGCAACCAAGAAAAAGTCTCTGGAGAAACAGACAAAATATAGGAACGAATAGTTCAAGAGATGAACATGGTGCCATGCAGAAACAGCATTCCCCCGGCAGGCCTGGCTGCTCTCCTCCGAAAGGCTGCCCCACAGCCTGGCGTGGCGTCGGGGAACGTGGGCCCCGGGAGTCGCCACCATGAACAGGCGAGAGTGGCTCCCTGTGCCGTAACTGCACAAACAACATGGCTCATGACAGACGCCTGCCTGGGGGGTCTGAACGTTTGGCATGTGCCACTCGGAGACCGCCCATGCGACCAGTCTCCAGCAGAAACCCAAGGTGCTGAGTCTCCAGTGAGACCTCCAGGTTGAGAATGCCTAGCAATCCTGCGTCTGGAGAGCTGTCCGCGAGATTGACGGGCCAACGTACAAAATGGCACGTGACGGGGGCTCTTCACTCCATGTGAACCCTGCAACAGCTAAAGTTTGAAAGCAAGGCGAAAGTCCATCAGACAGGGACTTACTCCATCCACTATGGCACATCCGTGCAATGAAGTACTATGCGGGGGGAGAAAAAGACCTCCAGGCCACAAGCAGATGGACACGCAGTAACGTTCAGGATACGTTACTAAGTGGGGAAGAACCGAGATACGTACGAGTGTGTGCTCACGTTCAGAAAGGAAGGCCCAGAAGGGCGGGTCCGGCTCTGACTGCAACGGGCTGCCTGTGCAGGAGGGCGGGACGAGTGGGGGGGGGCGGAAATGGGAGCGAGACTTCTCTCCCATCACATATGGTTTCCATTCGGGAACCTTGTAATTATTTTACACATTAGAAATATTCATAAAATTAAAACAAAAACATTCCCCAGACTGACAGTCATGTAAAATGAAGGAACCTGAATATCAAACTGGTGATACAACCAGTTAACAGAACTATTTCCAGTGACTCTGAAATGCATTTTGACCGTGTGTCCTTTGTGGAACACAGCCCGAGGAACAGAGAACCGCAGAGAAACCTAAAATCTCACTCAGCAGTCTTGTTACTACAATTTTACTGGCATTATAAAGCAACGCAAATAAACCACAGGACACAGCGGATAAGGAATTACGTTAACGCGTTAGGAACCAAGATTTTTCAGCCCAAGGTAAAAGAACCAAGTACAAAAATAAAGTAAAAATCTTACAATGTTGCATTTGAATCAGAAGTATTATATGTAATTAAGTTTCTTTTCCAAAGCCAGACACGCATGTATCTTCTAGCCATCTCTAAATGCTAGAGGCGGCAGCAGCGCCTTGCAGGGCCGGGACGGGAAGGGAGAAGAGGAACTTGCCGAAAGGCAAGGAGGCTGCCTTACAAGCTGCGGGGCTGTACCCAAAACACGCAGGGATGAGTCACATCTCACTGACCTAAGCCTCATTCCAAGGCACTTAGAACTCCCGTCCCAGTTTAGTTTAGAACTCGAGCAGCCTTGCCCGTCCCCCCCCCCCGCCCCCCGCCCCTTCCCTTGTTCCTCTCCCCTTTCCTCTCCAGACAGGCTCTAGAGCTGGGCGGAGGGGGGAGGCAAAACCTCCTTCCATTCTCTTTGACTTCACCCTTTTGAATCGCCTTAGCTACTGGGTATAATTTAATTGCCGTTACAAAAGAAAACTCATTGTCTAGAGAGCTTTCACGCTAACAAGGCTTTAAGAGCTAATGGGTGACGTGGCCACACTGTTTCGTTTTCAGCTTTCTACCTTCTCCACCCCCTCTCCTCCCCTTTCCTCACGTGCCACCCAGTGAGAGAGGCAGGCCCCTCGGCCTTGTGGGTGTAACTGGGAGGCAGGAGCAGAGCCACCGTCTTCAGTGACAATGACCTGGCAGACCTGTCCTTGTGGGGAGATGCTGTGGCCTCCTGTTACGGCCCTGCCAGCCCTTGCTGTGTGTATGTGTGTGTGTGTACACACATATGTGTATAATGCTTTGTCCTTCCTACGTGGATGATCCAGTGTTGGACTTCTTTGATGCACATCAATGTTTGGTTTTATTTAGCAAGGAAAAAAAAAAAGGACAAAGGAGCCAAGATGAGGGGCTCCCACTGGCCAGAGATGGAACAATGTGAGTATTTAAAAAAAGCAATTTACTGAGATACACTGAATATATTTTTTAAAAAAACAAACCAACCATAAGAGTTTGTAAAAGATCCCTCCTGGAGGTAACCAGGGCACTAAACCTCTATCTGAAAACGAGCGATTGGAGAAATCGTTTAGAATGTATGCTGCTTGTCCCGTGTCAATCGTATTTCAGGGTAATCAGATAGCCCTACCTAAGTGAGGTGAAGTTCTACCTTATAGAAGAATTCCAACTGATACACGTGCAAAATGATAGGATTACAAAGCCACCATTTTGCAGATTGGTGAAAGAACCGGCTCAGGCCCCGATCAGCCCTGGCAGAAACCCTTCCGTGGGAGGCCGGGGCGGGAGGCCGCTGCCAGCCCCGCCCCGCCCGAGCCCCGCCCCCACCCGCCCCGCCCCGCCCCGCCCCGCCCCGAGGAAGCCCCGCCTCCCCGGAAGGACCACAGCCCCAGGCGAGGTGCATCCCGCTGCGGAGCCACATGCCGCACAACAGCGCCATCGCCGAGTGTTCTTGCCAAAAGCTGCATCTGCACGGACTCAAGGTTGTAGAGGGAACTTTCCCAGCAGAGGCGCAGTTAAACGACCACGGCAGGAAGCGGCGGTCAATTGCGCGTCTGAAGGAGGACCCACTCGGTACCTCGACAACGGCATTAAAAAGGATGGGGTGGGGGGGGTCCCTGGTCTGGACGGAGAGACTGAGGAACTAACTAGGACAACCTGGTCCAACGCGTGGACTTGTCTGGCCCCAATTTCGAGCGAAATCGCTGCAAAAAGCCACTTTAGAAACGGTAAGTAAAATTTTAAAAATGGCTTGGTTATCCAACAATCTCAACGAGTGATCATAAATTTCCAGGAGTGATAATGGAGCATCATGGTTATTTTCAAAGGTCCCTGTGTTTTCAGAGGTGCCCAGTGAGGTCTGTCAGGATGGAATGACGTCAGCTCTGGGATTTGCTTTAAGATGCCCCAGCGAATGAGAGACAACGCAGAAAGGGACGGGAGTGTCAACAGCGGACCGGAGTGATTAAGAAGCATGTGGGTGTCCATGATGTTTTTTTCCAACTTGGTACAGGTTTTGAAAATTCTCATAGCAAGATTTTCTTTTAAAAAGTGAGGGAGAACAAAGCATAACAAATCCTTCCAGTCTCAAGAACAAGGGAGAACAGTTATACTCTACAAACAAGTAGATGTATGTAGAACTATATTCAGATTTATATGAAATAAGATCGCCTTAAATTTATCTTGATTAATTATAAGAATACAGATTTGAAAAAAAAAAAACAGACTCACTCCGATACCCAGCAGTCTTTATAACTGCAGGTAAATAGTAGAGTTCTCTAAAAAATATGAACTCCACTCAAACTATCTGGAAGAGGGCTGAAATAAAATTATGTAGTACAACCTCAGAGCCCGAGTGACTGGCGTTAAGTGTGATGGGAGGAAACATGAACATCGAGGTCACCTTCATCGCCCTCCAGCACGCTTTCCCCTGAACAGGACTAGACCGGAGGGGCTATCTGGTGGAAAGACATTTCACTGCCTAGGTGACATCCCGAAAACATCTCCCCCGTGAACGGAATCTTCAGATGAAGACCAGCTGTGGGAGCTTGAAAAACGGGATCAAACAGGGAGGGCCAGCGACAGGACGGAAAGGGGAGGCCAGACAGAGAGAGCGCTGGCAGGTTCACACGGTAGGAAGGAAGCAGGGGAGGAAATGGTTCTGTTTCCTCCCACCAACCTGCCACGGGCCCTCCGACCCCCAAATTCTCACCCTGGTGCTGCCAGGGAGCAGTCCTGTGACCTCGAGCAAGCGGGCAACTGCCGGAGCCCCTCTGGGCCTTGGTTTCTACACTATGAAAGTGGGGAATTGTGTCTTTTTGTGTTCGCTTCACCTCACTGTCTTCGTGGTGCACGAAGGAACATTATATAGAAGCACCACAAACACGCTCAGGGGCTGCAAACCTAAGTTACTCTTTTTCCCTTCTCAGCACCATTATTAGAGTTATTGTTGTTGTTGATGTTGGTATTAGAGGCCATTTAATATTTGAAGCTTCAAGTCTTTAGCTAAAGCAACCGAAGATTTTGAGGTTAGTCAGAAATTGATAATTCAATTTGTCAACTGGTCAGTCTCTTTGTCTCCCCTGATTCCTCTACTTCAGTTTTGGTTATTTTCATGGCATATTTACTTTCCACGCAAAGGCCTGATGGGAAAAAAAATGCTGAATTCAGTGTGACTCATTCTGTCACTTGGTGGCTTGCATGCATGGCAGAGGTAGAGATGGTAGAGAGTTAGTTCATCTGTGGAGGTCTCTCATCTACACCACCCAGGGTCTGTGATGAAGAGAAATAAGGGTAATGCTATTATTCTGAACATTCTATGTTGTTGCAGATTTGCTGCTTCTTCCCTTATCACACACACACATGCGAACAAAACCAAGCAAATGAAAAAACCTGTCGGTGTGGTCAGTGGCCAGGAGAAGAGAGACAGAGAGGTGGGAGTGGGGGGTGCCCATGAGAAAGTGGGTCTGAAAACTGGATCTGCCCGTGCACCACACTGCACGGGCTGCCCGCTCACAGTCCGCGCACCCGGCAGAGAGCAGCGTCCAGCCCTGGGAAAGTCACGTGGTCTCGGCGGGACTCTCGGGTGGAAGCAGCTCCGAGGCTGTATCTAGATTTCTGTACAAAATAAAAGACTGCATTTCAGTGATGGTTTTATCTCCATGTCCCATCTAAGGCTCAGAGTCAGGGCTGTGTTCTGTCTAGATATCAGGCGTCAGGTCATAGCGGACCACGACCTCTACGCATCAGGGTCTGTTACTTTAGGTGAAATAACCTCACTTCACTCCTCCTGTACAAGGGGTTTGTCCATTTAAAAAGTCTGTGAGTATCTTAACCAGCAGGGCAAGTCAGCAAATTAAAAAAAAAACAAACAAACAACTTTCAAGTTGCACACACCCGAAATTTTCAGGAAAGAAAGAAGTCAGCAGCTGAGTTCCCACCAAGGGGTTTCCTCCAGCAAAGGATACTGCAGGCCCGAGGCCCCGGCGCGGGTGCGGTAGCCGCCCAGGCGGCGGCCGCTCTCGGAGCAGTGCCAGGCGAACTGCTTGTCCTGCCCCGTGCTCAGCACCCACTCCAGCTCCAGGACGAACAGGACCATCGTCACCCGGCTCTGGTGCGCTGCAAACCGAGAGGAAGACAACCACCGTGAGGGAGGCCCCCGTAAGGAGGCTGGTGAGGCTCGGTCCGGAGACACAGCGCTCTCCTCTCCCCTCCCCGGAGCTCGCAGACGCAGGCTGGAAAAGGGGCCCTGGTCAGCGGCTGGGGGGTGTCTCTCTGCAGGGGCACGTCCCTGTCTTTATGTGACGTGGGTGCCACTGGGCTTCACGGAAGGTCCCTCGCGGGACGGAGTGGAGGTGTGGGCCGTGGTCCCATTTGAAGGCCCGGCAGCGGGAGGAGCCCACCCCAAGCCTCTCACTCAGTGCCGGCGGGACTCAGCCCCCCGCAGGCTGCTGACCAAGGGCTTCGGGTCCTTTGTGACTGTGACATGGCCCCGCTCTGCTCCTTAGCCCACAGCGCGGCAGCGGCTTCCCTCGGGAAAGGGAGCAAGGGAGCAGGAGGGGGCGAGCAGGACGGAAGCCCCTGTGTCTTCTGTAGTCTAATCCGGGAGGCCATGGTCAGTCCCTGCCGTGCTTTCGATCCGGCCCACGCTCGGGGACACGAGTACCGTGAGGCAAAGCTCACCAGGAGCCACCTCAGAGGCTGCACTCCACAACGAGTCCCATTGTTTAAATGGCCAACATGATACAACATGTACAACACGATAGCCCAAGAGTTGTAATGAGGACGGTTAAAAAAACACGTTCAAGAACAAAACCTCAGGTCACGTAAAGGAAAATATAAAATGCGTAGGCCAGAAAAGACCAGGAAAAAATGGAAAGGGGTTGGATTTTCACGGCTCTGTTAGAATCACGAAAAAGCGGTCATGGGTAAGAGAGAGTATACTTAGTTTCTGTAGCTCCAACTGGCTGAGCAAAGACCAATAGCACTTGGCATGTGACATCATTCTTTGCTTCTTTATAGGAGTTTATTGTGCCAGGCTGACGACATGCCGGGGGGCCGGGCCTCAAATGCTCCCTCAGCACACGGCACTTCAGTGTCCGGTCACCCGTGCGTGTCTGTGTCCCCCACGTGACTGTGACGTGCTCACGGGCAGACACTACACGTCTGGCTCATGAGTGCAGTCCTCAGTTGTTGCAACAATGACTGGTGCTCCATAAACACAGCTATTCACAAAATTCCCGAGAGGTGGCATGTGAAAAAAAGAGAGACTAAATCTACAGGGAAATGAATGTTGGTTCAAAATCCGCAACTGAAAAACTCCACCCTTAGCATTTTCCCAAGTCGGCATGGGTCGCTATGTCTCTGCAGGCTTCCGAGGAGATGCTGGATGGCCACTAGGGACAAATGAGGCATCGAGATTGGGAGGAAATGACCTCCAAGTGTCACAAGGTCCAGTGTTCTGATCCCTCGACACCGTTGGCCTGGACAGAGAAACCCGTGGCCAGTGTTACTCCCGATCCACGGGAAGGAAATGGCCTGCAGTACTCTGTCGGCGGAGAAGCTACACTCCAACCGTAACTCCCTCCCTCAGGCGGTCTACACGCCACACACACTGAGCCTTTCACAGCACGCAACCAAAGGGAACTGAGCCCGTGAGAAGCGGCTCACTCCCGGCGCTGACCCCGGGCTCCACGCCTGCCGCACAGCTGCGAGCCGGCTGGTGGCGTGGGTGGGAGGCCAAAGGCTGCGGGCTCTGCAGCCACACCGACCAGGTCAAGCCCTGCACTGGACCAGCTGCAAAACCACAGGCCAGTCAGCTTGCCTCTTCGGGCCTCAGCATCTTTTTTTTTTTAATTTTTAAAGATTTTTTAAACATCAATGTGCGGTTGCTGGGGGCCATGGCCTGCAACCTAGGCATGTGCCCTGACTGGGAATCGAACCTGCAATGCCTGGTTCGCAGCCCGTGCTCAATCCACTGAGCTATGCCAGCCAGGGCAGCATCTTCTAAAACAGAGGTAATCGCAACCTCAGCTTCTGGCTCCGTTTTAAAAAGCAAGCCTGCTTTCAAGTACGGCCCCTCCTGTGACAGGGGAGCCACCAGGAACCCTTCCCGAGTCCGGGCCGGGAAGGCACCACTGTCATGCCTACCTGGATAGCTTTTCACAGGAGTCATCTTGTTATAATCTTCTGATAAAATGAATTCCTACAAAAAAAGAAGAAAAATGCTAAGCGAAAGGGAATTCTTTAAGTGGATAAATGTATTTTGGTAAAACCAGGCTGAATAAAGCAAATATCATCACAGAATTACTGATACATCTGACATCAGTATTTTGCCAATCAACTCAGCATTATTGTCCCTCTTTAAAAGTGGTAATCATAACTGTGACTCAATGCAATTATCCTAATTTTTACCTTATAATGGATGGTAATCTTTTTTTGAGTATGCATGCGAAGAAAACTGGATCAAGTTCAGAGTCTTGAAACTGATAAATTTCAAAGATAATCCTGATTGAAATTATCTTTCTTTCTTTTCTTTAATTCTCACCTGAGGACATTTTTTTCATGGTTTTCAGGGAGAGAGGATGGGAGAGAGAAAGAGAAATACTGATGGGAGAGAGAAACATCGATTGTTCACCTTCTTGTGCCCACCCCGACTAGTGGCTACATCAGCACGCTGGGTATGTGCCCTGACTGGGAGTCGAACCCGCAACCCTTTGGTCTGTGGGATGACGTTCCAACTGGCTGGGGCAGAGTATTTTTCTTTCAATGGTGCCATAGCTAAAAATTTGCAAGGCCCTGGCTGGTGCCCAAGTACATGGCAATCCTCTACCTGAGAAAAAATACTTTAAAGATTTTATTTCTACCATCGGTGACTATTTCCCCTTGTCACAAGGGTCTCAGGGCTGCATCCTACTCATCCCTGTACCCCAGGGCAGCTGGCCCAGGAGATGATCAATACAGGTTGATTAAATGAATATCCGAAAGGCACCTCTCCATCTGATGAGATTAATGTGAATGCCAAATTGACTCAAAATAAACTTTTGTGTGACACATATGCACGCTGTGGGGATACATAAAAGTGAGCGGGTGAGTTTCACCTGCGTCACCCGCCTCACTTCCCCGGGCCACGTGGGCACGCTGTCCTCTCCATTGGCTCCAGGAGGGCGAGCAGAGAACGACACGGTATTTGAAAACACGTTCACACATTGTGTATGACGGCACAGTTGCAACTGTTTATCCACTTGATCCTTCGTTACTACTGTTAACCTCTTACTGTGCCCGATCACAAGTTAGAACCACCCCCACCCAGGTGTGTGTGCGCACAGGAGAACGCGTAGTACGCACCGGGGTTGAGCTGCCTGCAGTGGCAGGCACTCCCCGGGGGTTCTGGAACGGATCCTCTGCGGGTAAGGAAGAACTACCGCGTTACAAAAAAGTTATTGCTGTATCGATTTCCTCTTTAAATTGGGAGTTATTTAGAAAAAAACTTACTTATAGGCAGTGTTATTTATGGCTACCTTTTTGTTGCTAGTTTGTAGTTTTACTGGCTTATATTTAGAAAACAATTTAACATTTTAAAAAATTTACTAAGATTTTTTTTATATAGATTTTATTTATTTATTTTTAGAAAGGGAAGGGAGGGAGATAGAGAGAGAAACAGAAACATCAATGTGAGGTTGCTGGGGGCCGTGGCCTGCAACCCAGGCATGTACCCTGACTGGGAATCGAACCTGCGACACTTTGGTTTGCAGCCCGCGCTTAATCCACTGAGTTACGCCAGCCAGGGAAGATTTTCTTCATGGTCAAGATATTAATGATTTTGTAAATGTTCTGTAGATAAAAGAAAAATACTTTCTATCCAAAGTTCTAGGTCTATTTATATATCTATTTAATTAAATTTGACTCTAGTTTGCAAATGTCCTATATTTTTACCTATTTGCCTACTTGTATTTCAAATTCAGAGAGATGGGGCTAAAGAAATGGGCTTTAATTTTAGTGTTTATTATTCTGATTATAAAAGCAATATCTCACCGTACATAAGCAAAAGCCATGAAACAATATTAAAATGGAAATTCAGTTGTCTATAACTCTGCCAAATAGTGAGAATTCTTGTGAACATTTTGACTGTTCTGCCTGCCAGTCTTTCCCCTGGCGTACACTGAACACGTCGCACTGCCGTGGCAGCGCCACTGATACTGTTTGGCAGTGCTCCTTGCTCTCCTAACATTATCACACGGACATTCCTGGTCGTTACACATTCTCTGAAAACGTAAGTGTCAGGCCTACATAATATTCCACTGAGTGCCCATGTCAGATTTTATCTAGTTAGTCCCTGATCATTGCATTTCTTTTTTAAATATGCTTTATTGGTTATGCTATTACAGTTGTCCCGTTTCCCCCCTTTATTCCCCTCTGCCCTGCACACCCCCTCCCACCCGCACTCCCCCTCCCCCCGCTTTAGTTCATGTCCGTGGGTTGTACATGCAAGTTCTTTGGCTTCTACATTTCCTGTACTATTCTTAACCTCCCCCTGTCTATTTTCTATCTACCATTGATGCCACTTATTCTCTGTACCTTTTCCCCCTCTCCCCCTCCCACTCCCTCACTGATAACCCTCCATGTGACCTCCATTTCTGTGATTCTGTTCCTGTTCTGGTTGTTTGCTTAGTTTGTTTTTGTTATTTTGGGTTCCACTGTTGATAGTTGTGAGTTTGTTTTCATTTTACTGTTCATATTTTTAATCTTCTTTTCTTAGATAAGTCCCTTTAACATTTCATAAAATAAGGGCTTGTTGATGATGAACTCCTTTAACTTGACCTTATCTGAGAAGCACTTTATCTGCCCTTCCATGCTAAATGAAAGCTTTGCTGGATACAGTAATCTTGGGTGTAGGTCCCTGCCTTTCATGACTTCAAATACTTCTTTCCAGCCCCTTCTTGCCTGCAAAGTTTCTTTTGAGAAATCAGCTGACAGTTTTATGGGCACTCCTTTGTAGCTAACTCCCTCCTTTTCTCTTGCTGCTTTTAGGATTCTCTTTGTCTTTAATCTTGGGTAATGTAATTATATGCCTTGGTGTGTTCCTCCTTGGGTCCAACTTCTTTGGGACTCTCTGGGCTTCCTGGACTTCCTGGAAGTCTATTTTCTTGGCCAGATTGGGGAAGTTCTCCTTCATTATTTGTTCAAATACGTTTTCAATTTCTTGGTCTTCCCCTTCTCTTTCTGGCATCCCTGATTGCCAGATGTTGCCCCTGATGTTAGAACATTTAAAGATGTCCTGAAGGTTCCTAAGCCTCTCTTCATTTTTTTGGATTCTTGCTTCTTCATTGTTTTTTCTGGTTGAATGTTTCCTTCTTCCTTCTGGTCCAAACCGTTGATTTGAGTCCCAGTTTCCTTCCCATCATTGTTGGTTATCTGTAGACTTCCCTTTATTTCACTTAGCATAGTCTTCACTTTTTCCTGTATTTTGTGACCATACTCAACCAATTCTTTGAGCATCCTGATTTCCAGTGTTTTGAACTCCGTGTCTAATAGGTTGGCTATCTCTTCAAGGCTTAGTTGTATTTTTTCTGGAGCTTTGATCTGTTCTTTCATTGGGGCCATTTTGTTTTGTCTTGGCGCACGTGTTAGGGGCGGAGCCGTAGGTGTTCATTAGAGCGGAGCAACCAGTGGCTGCGTTGTGACGCTGTACGTGGGGGAGGGTCCGAGAGGGACAGTGCTGCTTGCTCCGCTCTCTGCCGGCTTTCAGTCACTTCCCCCACTACCCACAAGCAAAGTGGGCCCTCTGGTGCTGATTCCCAGGTGGGTGGGCTTATGTACGTGCTAGAGCCTTCTGGGCCTCCCCAGCCTCCCCAACGAACTCTCCTGTGAGACTGGGAGTTTCTCCCGCTGCCGCTGCAACCCCCACAGGTGTTTTTAGTCAGAGATCTGAGGCTTTATTTCCCTGCTGGAGCCCTGGGTTGTGGGTCTGTCTTGCTCCCCAGTTGTTCCCCCTGGTTTATCCGCACGAGAATGCGGTCCACCGGCTGCCCCTCAACGAGAGACCTCTCTGCCTGGCTGCCCGTCTCCGCCCCTCCTGCCGGTCTGGGTGAGTGTTTCTTCTTTACTCCTTGGTTGCCGGACTTCCATACAGTTTGATTTTCTGGCAGTTCTGGTTGTTTTTTGTTTTTAAATGTGTTGTTGTCCTTGTTTTGGTTGTGCGAGGAGGCACGCTGTGTCTACCTGCGCCTCCATCTTGGCTGGAAGTCTGATCGTTGCATTTCTAACATACCAGTTCTTCTTCTTACGATGAGATGTCCCTAATAATCCTTGTCTGTTTTATGGTTATTTCCTTTGAATAGTTTTCTAGAAATGAAATTATCGATATAAAAGGTACAAATACTTCTAAAGCTCTAGTTGCCTATTACCAATAATATTCTAAATAGTTTGTGTTCCCTCTATCATTGTACAAAGAGAGTCTATTTCATTCGATTTTAGCCAACATGCGTATTCTAAAAATGATACTACTTAGATAAAAATGGAATTAAAATTTTTTAACACTCTAAAATGTTTATTGGCCCAGAAATGCACATTAAAACAACAACAAGCTATCACCTGAGTCCTGTCAGGATGGCTGTCACCAATAAATCAATAAACAGCAGGTGCCGGTGAGAGTGTGGAGAAGGGAACCCTCGTGCACTGTTGGTGGGAGTGCAGACTGGTGCAGCCACTATGGACAACAGTGTAGAGATACCTCAAAAAATTAAAAATGGAACTGCCCTGTGACCCAGTGATTCCACCTCTGGGAATATATTCAAAGAACCCCAAAACAATAAGCCAGAAGAACATATGCACCCCTGTATTCATTGTAACATTATTTATAAGAGCCAAGATTTGAATGCAGACCAGGTGCTCGTCAGTAGATGAGTGGATAAAACAAGCTGCGGTACATTTACACACTGGAATACTACTCAGCAATAAAAAAGAAAACCTTACCCTTTTTGACAGCATAGGTGGACCTGGAAATTGTTATGCTAATTAATAAACTATTAAGTCAGTCTGAGAAAGACAAATACCTTCAGCCTCACTTGTGTATAGAATATAATGAACAAAATAAATTAACAAACAAAACAGAAACAGAAAAATAGATACATAGCAAAGACTGACAGCTGTCAAAAGGGAGGGGTGCTGAGGGGCTGGGTGACTAAAGGTGAAAGAATTAAGCGA